CTGGGTCGGGCGCGCCCACCGCGCGCGAGGGCACGTGGGCCGCCGGGCAGCGCCGCGCGCCTCCTGCTCGGCGCCCCCTTCTCCCCCACCGATCCCGAGTTTGGGGTGTCGCCGTAAGCCCAAGCTGCAGCCCTGGGATTGCACGAAGGGTTCAGACACCCCACTTCCCCAACCAGAAATACCAGTTCGGAACGCTGGTGGGTAGATGCTCATCTGCTCTCCTGGAGAGGGTTTCTCCTGGAGTACACGCAGTTTACCTTAAAACGTGTACTTGCACTGGAGGGGAGGGGGGCATGTTCGAAATTCGCTCTACCTGTTTTTGAGGTTTTTGGGAAAGTTCTTTCCCTCCTATCGCATGCGTTTCAGATGAAATTCTTTTAAAAAGTAATAATTGGTTCTACTCAAGCGAATTGTTTTCTCTCCAGTTTTTCCTGGTTGTAAGCCAAAGTCCCTCCTTTTTGTTTGTTTGTTTGTTTTTTGTTTAGTGGGGCTTTGTGTGTGTGTGTGTGTGTGTGTGAGTGTGATTTTTTTTTTTTGTTTTTGTTTTTGTTTTTGTTTTTTGGGGTTTGTTGTTATTTTTGCAGTCCTGCCTGGCCTTGAACACACTGTGTAGCCCAGGCTTGCCTCGAATTCACAATCAGCCTACTTCAGTCTGTTCCAGTCTCTCAAGGGCTGGGACTAAGAACGACAAACGTGCCATCACGCCTAGCGGGAGGCCCTCCTTTCGAGTCACAACTCTGCTTGGGTCAGTTCTAAGCTCAGTGCTTTATAAGGATAGACGCTTGAAAATGGCCTAGGGTGGTGTCTGACTCAGTGGGCCTCTTTTATTTCTCTACTCTGCCTACCGGAAGGGAGGTTAGCCTCACATTTTAAATAAGCAAAGTAATTTATTCTCGGGGTGCTTTGAGGCTGTCTGTTGTTTATGAAACAGAATAAATGACAAGTCCGAAGCCTTTCCCCTAAAGCACTTTCCAACTTGATAAAGAGAGGGAGGACATAGCCTAAACATTAGGAAAATTATAGAACTCTTCCAAGGTCCCAGAATGTAAATCTTGATTTCCTACTGCAGTTATGAAATAGTTCCAGAAACTATTGCCTAACTGCAGCTTGTTATGCCCTGTTTTATGGTAAACAAATTTGTCAATATTTTGTTCAGAGGGCTGGTTCCATTTCACAATGTGAACTTTAGAACCTTGGCCTAAACCTATTAGAAAAAATTTATTTCAGGACACAAAGTATCACTTACCGTCTGGCAAAAGCTACAAAGAAGTTGGTAGGACCCTCACCCCCAGGATTCCAAAGAAATCCATAAAAATAGGAAAAGACATTTTATGGAGAAAAATTGGCTTTTCCAATTTTTTTTTCCTTCTACCTGTTACAGTACCATGATTGTAATCAT